TTCATCTATTGTGAGGCACTCAATTTATGTAGGATAAATAAAGACATTCACAGTTCAAAACCAGAGGAAAACCTTAAAAGCAGCCAGAGAAAATGGCTCCCAGAAAGGGAGCATTCCAGTGCAAGCAGCAGCTGGAGGCCGAAGACCGCGGGATGACAGATTCCAGCTGCACGGGTGGGGGTGGAAGGGGTGTCCGTCAGGGAGTCTAATCTAGCAAGACTACTCTACTGAAATGAAAGCGGGAAACACAGGTAGCTCCAGGCAAACAACGACTGGTAGAATTGCGAAAAGGCCTGCCTTTTCATGGGAGTGATCCCAGAGACTTGAGTCAGAGGAAGAAGAGGCAAGCCCTGGACACAGGAAATCTGTTGGTTAAAATATTTCTCATGTTTTATACAAGACACATTGTGTACAATAGCAAACACTATAACTATATTGTGTAATCTCCAAAATATGTGGATTGCACAGACAAGGGAGCTAATGTGGACCAGAATTTCTATAGTTTACCAAAATTTACTATGAATTTCACAAATAGAAATGTATAATATATTCCCTAGAGCAGTACATCAATATAGAACTGCCAAAGAGCCAAGCTGGAATCAGAAGAGTGGGAATGTGAATGAGGAGATAACATTCCTGATTTCAGATAACTCTGGTTGAAACGCCAAGAATCCCTGAGACATGTTTTCTTGTATTACTGACTCTGAAGGAATTGACTGTATCAAAAACTGGCTAGCATTCTGAAGATTGGGAATTCCAGAAAACTTAATTGTGATCATACAGAGCATGTGCCTAGACCAAAAGGCAGGATAGAACAGGAGGATGCTGTGTGGTTTAAAACCAGGAGAAGTGTGTGTCAGGGTTGGATCCTTCCCCCATAACTACTCTCTTGGCATATAAACTGAGAAATTGGACTACACGCAGATGACTGCGGCACCAGGGTTGGAGGAAGCCAATCTGCCATTTGCAGACGACACAGCCTGCTTGCTGGCCGGAAAAAAAACGGGAACAACTGCCGAAGAAAGGAAAAGGAAAACCTCCAATGTAGACGACAACTCAGTGTGAAGAAAACAAACACCCTCCCAACTGGACCAGTAGGTAAGTTGTCAAGTATTTCATCTTGCTTGGCTTCATAATGGATGCTCATGGAAGCAGGCAAGGGATCAAATGATGTATTGCAGTAGGTGCACAGATCTTTAAAATAATGTGCACAGACCTTTAAAATGTTGAAGAGCATGGAATGTTACTTTGAGGACTATGATGTAACAGACCCAAGCCATGGTGTTTTTAGTTGCCTTAAGAGCATGGAAGCTGAATACATTCAATAAGGAAGGCCGAAGAAGAGTCAGTGCGTTTGAATGCAGGTGCTGAAGATCGAAAGTGCCACGGATTGCCCAGAGAAGAAAGTAACTTAGAAGTGAGGACGGCGAGATTCCCTTTCACAGACTTTGAACGTGTTGTCAGGGGAGGCCTGTCCTTAGAAGAGGACATCATGCTTGGGTCCTATCCCCATAATTACGCTCTTGGTACATAAACCGAGAAGTTGGACAGTGAAAAAGAGGAGCACCTTCGACAAGATGAAGTGACCTATGGGCTGCAACAGTGGCGGTGTGGGTGGTGCAGGGCCTGGCAGTGTTCTGTTCTATTGCAACAAAGGCCACTGAGTGGAAACCGACTCCAGGGCACCCCTAACAACAGCACACACCAATGATACACCCTTGTTTGCTGGGAGCCAAAAGGCCTCATCTATGTGGAAGCTGGGCTGTGAATAGAGAAGACCCATTTGAATTATAGTGTTGGCCAGAGTATTGAAAGGACCGTGGATTCCTCAATCCTGGAAGAAGTAGTTCGAGTAGTCCTAAGAAACAGGGTGCAGAGATTTTGTCTCTCCACTTGGGACGTGTTATCAAGAGAAAACAGACCCTCCTGGAGAGGATTGTCTTGCCAGTTCAGTGGAGGGAACAAGGAAGACTCACCAAGATGGACTGACAGGGTGACTGCAAGCAGCAGTTGTGAGGATGGGACGCAACCCCTCATTGTTTTGCTTGGTTGTGGACAGGTTTATACATTGGAGCCAGCTCTACAGCACCTGGCAACAGCAGAGATAGAAAAATAACTTTTAAAGTACAAAAAGGTATGCAAAAATACATTTAAGAAGCAACCAATAACAGAAAAAAGCGACAGAAGACAGCAAACACAATGAGCTTAAAAGCCAACAGAAGCCCAGTTTGGTAGATATATAATCGTTTGTCAATTTGAGGATGGAGAGTGTAGGGGAGGAATCTAGCTTGTCAATCAGATCATAGTCAATGAGGCCTCTGTGTGCACATGGCCTTCTGAGAATTCCTGGAAATCTGGTACTTCCTCCTTGGAGATGGGAGACTCCTCTCTCTGCCACTCCCTGGAAGCTATCGCAGCTGACAAGACACATGGAACTACACTAGTGCCCTAAGTTGGAGAAGCCACATGAACCTACTCTGATGCAACCAGGCCTCTGAGGCCGGAGAAGCCACGTGGTGACCCCTGCCAGCGCTGAGATGCTTACAACGCCACTGGATCCAAAGACTTTCTACCCACTGGCCTGTGATGGTCCTGCATTCGGCGTCATTGCATGTTTCATGAGTCTGAAGAAGACTTTATAGATTGGTATCGGGCTTATGGACTTGGACTGGACGGGGTTGGGATGCTTTCTCAATGTTCAATTCTGGCATATAACCCTCTTATTACACATGTGTGTCCATGGGTTTGTTTCTCTAGTCTACCCACACTAACACACCCAGTTGTATTTATAACTGCCTTTATTGTCAGTGGTCTGCACCATAAACAAAAGTGAGAGATAGATTTTAAAACAATAAATTTTATAAGCAAGGAAAGATTTCATAAAAGAAGCCAATACAGAGGGTAGCAATGGACACAATTTTAGCTTTATATGCATAAAAACCAGCAAAAACATGAAGCAGAAATGACAGGTTTGAAGAGAGAAGTGGGTAATTATTTGATGGCAGTCGAAGAGACTGTGGTTAACTACGAAGCTACTAAGGCAAGGTAGGCAGGGGACTCCACCCACCCCTGGGGAGTGGGGACCTTGATAGCGCGGCCCAGATCCGGCCTTTCCCTTCTGTCCGATGGGAGTCTGTGGGCAGAGCCCACTCCATGACCCATTTGTCAATGAGAATAGTCCAGGAAAATAAAGAACAACAGAAGACCAGCAAGGCTTCAGAAGACTTGAAAATGACTGTCTGACAACTGAGTGTGGCGGAGCCGTAGCGCACTCCACCCTGTGCGGAGGACCTCCTCCAGGGCTCACTAGCTGCTGGCCCTGAAAACCAGGCTCCAGCTAAAAAGACTGAACATTGACAGCGTATGTTACTTTGCCACAAAAAAGAATTGTTTCAGAAGTCAACCGTAGGAATCTGGGAAAGTCCTCAGCTATTTGGAAAGTAAACAGACCATTTCCAAGCAACCTACATTCAACGGAGAAACTTTAGGGGGAAAACAGTATTTTGAACTCGATGAGAATGAAAACCCATGTCAAAACTCAGACTGCAGCTACGCAGTATTTAGAGTGATGTGGACGGCTTTAAATATATCAAAAAAGAAAATTCTAAAATCAGTAACGTCACCTTCTAGTTCTTGAAGTTAGGAAAAGAAAAGGCAAAGTCGGGGGGAATCAAAGGTTAGAGGGAGAACAGGGTAGAGCACAAGTGACACTGCTTTAGCAAGGTGTGATAACCCGTGGTTCTCAACCCTCCTAAGACTGCGACCCTTTAATACAGTTTCTCATGTGGTGGTGACCCTCCCCCAACCATAAAATGATAATTCGTTGCTACTTCATCACTGTAATTTTGCTACTGTTATGAATCAGGTGACCCTTGTGAAAGGGTCATTCAACCCATCCACTCACTCCCCAGGGGTCGCGACCCACAGGTTGAGAACCGCTGGTCTAGACAGACATGCCTTACCATGTGTGTCTGAAAAGGAAGTTAAAAATATCAGACCTGTAACAAGAACTTGAATTGGCCATTTCAAATCCTTCCTACACACACAAAAAAGTGCCCCCTAAATGATTCACTAAGGAATCCTGTCAAATACGTGAAGAAATCATGCCTAAAACGTTCCTAGCAGGAGGTTGAGGGAACCTCAACCCAGTGCATTTTCTAGGGTCCCTAGGATTTCCCTTGAGTGATTGCCGGGGTGCTAGTGAAGAAGCTCTGGTCACACCGTGAAGCTCTTGGCAGTCAGTCAAAGGATCTGCAGTTCAAACCGACCCCACCCCTTCTACTTGAAAGAAGAAGCACGAGACCGTGTGTTTCCAGCAATGAGATTTGGTTTTATCTGGCAACCAAGCTTTGTTTTGTCGGAGGTTTTCTTGGCAGCCGTGTTGCTTGGGTTTGAGGCTCTGGGTGCCTACCCTGGAACTCACAGAGCACTTGGTGGTCAGGAAGGTCGAACATATCTGGGGACCAGGAAACCACATGGCTCCCCCTCTGGGACCTTACTCTCTGCGTCTCTTGTGTTCTTTCTAATTACAATAGATAATTTTCATGAAATACATAACTCATTTCAGGCACTGGCTTGTCAGGTGTCTACCTATTTGGTGGTATGAAGGGCTGGGTCTACTTTTTTTTTTTAAATCATTTTATTGGGGGCGCATAGAACAAGCTGGGCCTTCGAATGTGTGTTGCTGTGACCTATCCCTGGGCAGGGCTGGAAGGGAGGAGAGAAGTGGAGGGAATCCTGTGAACCGGTCCAGCCCTGAGATGGGATCAAAAGTCGCTTGGACCGCTTGCTGATGAGGATGGGGAATTGGGAAGGTGCGGACTGGCTCCGATTCCCGGTGGAATTGGATTTATACTGATCCTCCTCATGCAGTTGGCACTGATGTCCCCAAGGTGCCCCTTGTTTACCCCGAAGGAGTTCACCTTTCTAGCTCATGTTTGGACTTAGCTCTCAGGTGGTCCTTAGCTGCTGCTGAGTTGGCTTGCGGTCCCCGCCCTCAGGGTGGCTGGGCCTGCTGAGGTGCAAGGTCTGCACTGGCTGGTTCTCAGCAGATCTCTGAGCCCTTAGCCTCCACTGGGGCCTCTGTGGTGTCCTCGAAGCATTTGACCCCTCCACTGACAGGTGGTGGCTGGGCAGGAGTTGAACCCAAGCCTCTCACCTGCAAGCAAGAATTCTCTTGCTGCCCCCTCTCTTGGGACATGAACATTAGCTGGGATAGAGCCCATCTAACTCTTGAGCCACCTGTATTTCAATGAGAGGCGTTTCCTGTGCCCCAGGTGACGCGTTGCCTTTTCCCCGAGGCAGGCTTCCCACTGCGCTTCACCTGTGCCACATTAGTCCATACCCCTCTGACTCCAGGAAGGGTGGGTGGGTGGAGGCTTGTATCACCTGCCTGGACACCCACAGGTGGGGCAGGGTCCAGCTGGACCACACATGTGAGTCTGGTAGCATCCCTCGCACCTTCCCCAGACACAAGTCGGCTCCATCTGTAGCTCTCTGGATTGACCTTGGCCTGTCGTGCCCATGTAGGGAGGGTGGTGTGTGTCAGAGGAGCTGTAGTGTTGGGATGGCATCACATGTGCAAGACCTGGGACACACAAAACAGTGCTGCTATGGCCTTGAGTTGTCTGCTCTGAAACGCCTCTGGCCAGTTCTGAAGGGGAGCCCGAGAGCTGGACTCAAAGGAGTCTCCGGCTTTGGTGCTTCAGGGACCGGCTGGAGCAGCTGGAGCGAAAGCGGGAGCGAGAGCGGAAGCTGCGGGAGCAGCAGAAGGAGCAGAGGGAGCAGAAGGAGCGTGAGCGGAGAGCCGAGGAGCGGCGCAAGGAACGCGAGGCACGCAGGGAAGGTAGGGGCCGGGCCGCAGGGCCTCCACAGGAACTACCCACCTCTCTAGACTCCTGTGACAGGTGACACACATAGAGAGGCGAAGTGCTTAATGATAGGATGGGGACCTGCCCCAGGTCCATGTATGTGGCTGCCTGGGTTGGCCAGTCCATGTCTTGGAGGGGACCTTGGCACCCCTGCCTGGCCGCTTTCCCACTCCTGTCTGACCCGGGCCATTCAGTCTGGAGACCCATTTGACCCTCAGGGCGGCTCACGGCCCTGAGCTCCAGGCCTTCTGCCCAGTGCACATACCACTGGCCCGCAAGAGAAGTGAGGGTGATTGAAAGTGGACCTCGACAGGAGTCCAGGGAAGGGGGTGGGGCTGCAGCCTGTTCTGTGGTTCCCCCAGGGTCGTCAGCTCATCACCGCACAATGCGGGAGGAGTATGGGGAGAAGGCGAAGGCCAGCCACTGGAGCCGCAGCCCTCTCCGGCCACCACGGGAAAGGTTTGAGATGGGCGAAGGCCGGAAGCCAGGTGAGGCAGCGGGGGTCTCCATGAACTGCTGTTGCCTGTGGTCACAGCCATCTGAAGGGGTGGTCATAGTCAGACTATGAGTGTTTGCTTGAACCAAACCGATTTCATTCTGGGAATGGTCCTTTCCGGAGTGGGTCTTGGGTTTGTGTGTTTGTATGAGCGATGGTTCCCCCGCATTGCAGCTAGTCACTTGGTGAAAGGTGCTGTAAGGTGTTGGACACTGCTCTCGTGTATTTAAAAACCATTTGCCCAGACTCATCTTCAGTGGTTTGTTTAACAGTCAAGGAAGAGAAAATGGAAGAGAGAGACCCCCTCTCTGACTTGCAAGACGTCAGTGACAGCGAGAGGAAGACCAGCTCGGCCGAGTCCTCCTCAGGTAGCCGCGCACCTGGCCCGGGCCGCCCCTCCCCCTGTGAGGGCCAGGGCAGCGGGCTCACCTTGCAACTCTGGGTCCATCCTCAAGCGGAGTCAGGGTCCGGCTCGGAGGAGGAGGAGGAAGAAGAAGAGGAAGAGGAGGAGGAGGAGGGGAGCAGTAGTGAGGAGTCCGAGGAGGAGGAGGAAGAGGAGGAGGAGGAGGAGGAAGAAGAGGAGACGGGGAGCAATTCTGAAGATGCTTCTGAACAGTCTGCTGGTGAGGAGAAGGTGGGGGGCTATGGTCTGTGGCCGCATGGCTAGACGCCCTGGGTGTTACTCGGAGGATCCCAGCATCACAACTGAGATACCTCCTGCTTCCTGTCAGCAAAGCTGCCCTCGCTCGGCCTGTGGAGGGTTGGGTCTGGTGCGTGCCACTGCACGCCACTGGCTCCGGTTACCCGGGTGGACCCCTGCTTTCTCTTGCAGAGGAGGTGAGTGAAGAGGAGATGAGCGAGGAGGACGAGCGGGAGAACGGAAACCACGTCCTCGTTGGTGAGAACTTGCTTGCCCGCCCACCCACCCACCCGCCCTCTCTCATCTCTCAGCCCATTCCTGAGTGCGGGGGGGCCTACCCCCCCAACCCCCTCCCGGTCTTCCCTGAGTTCAGAGTCTTCCTCAGGGTAGAGGGTCTTGGCAACAAGCTCATTCCTGGTTTTGTAATTGGGCGGCCTTTGAAGTTCCAGAGTCACGATTTGACCGAGATTCCGGGGAGAGTGAGGAAGGAGAGGAAGAAGGGGGTGAGGGGACCCCACAGAGCAGCGCCCTCACTGAAGGAGACTGCGTGCCTGACTCCCCTGCCCTATCGCCCATTGAGCTCAAGCAGGAGCTGCCCAAGTACCTGCCTGCCCTGCA